CCCCAAAACCCCAAAACCCCAAAACCCCGTTATTAAATTAATTGAATTAAAATCAGATTAATTAAATAAAAGATTAGCCAAGATTTGGATAAATCAAATGTCATTGTTCTTTTTAAACATTATATAATCTAGCCAAGCGAACTCAAATGTTTCCATTGCTAGATTTACATCATTATCAATGGTGCCAAAATGACCACCCTCTTTATTGAATCTGACTACTATATTCTTCATTCCAAAGTCGGGGAATTTCTAAGGATCTTTAGCAAGGTCTCTCAGCTTTTCAACAAATTTAAGACTACCCCAGGATGGAACACGAGGATCTTAAAGTGATATATTGAGGAGTGTTGCTGGATATTCTTGATTAGATAGATTTTCATAGGGAGAGTAAGAGTTTATCAGTTTGTACAACTTTTCATCTGTGATCGGATTCCCGAACTCCAAATGATCTGTCAGTGCCAGAGGTAGGGAATCATCTAGAAGAGATGAGAGTACATCTAAAAAGGGAACATTTAAGACGCATGCTCTGAATAGTTCTGGATACATATTCATGCAGGCTTGAGCTATTAGAGTTCCACCAGCACTCGAACCCTTTGCAGCCAGTAGATTTGGATGCGTTATTCTTTGCATTATTAGATATTCAGCACATGCCTAGAAATCTTTAAAGGAGTTCATTTTCTTATGTAGTTTACCCTGCTCATGCCAGTAAATGCCCTTCTCACCACCTCCTCTTACCATAGCTTAGGCAATAACCCAGCCTTTTTCCATGGCTGTAGTATGAACAATATTGAAGCCTTGGTTGACGTTAATTCCATATGCTCCATATCCCTCAAGCATTGTGCGATTCTTTCTATTTAAGATCATACCTTTTTTGAAGTAGATGTTCATAGGTACCTCTTCACCATCATAAGAAGGAACTAGGAATTGTTTGCAGTCAAATTCATTCCTCACTATTTATGGAGAACCAGTAAGTTTGTACTCCTTTAAAAGCTGCTTTTACTTTATTGTGTGGTCATACTAGTATACTTACTGGTAAACAAATGGGGAAGAGAACTAGTATCTTAAGTGTTTTGTGTCATAATCTTAATTAAGTCCAGGAATAATCTCACCCACATCATCCATTTTAAGTGATTTTATCTCTTTTGTAGTTAAATCCATTATGAGGATTTCTGGTCTGCCTTGATGCTTGATATATACAGCAATAAAGTCCTTAAAAGCATCGAATTCATTTATAATATAGCCACTCTCTTGCCCTCCAGACCCTAGTAAATCTGTCCATTTTTCATTGTGATTCTCCTAACCAAAATCTTCATCATTTAGCGTAGTTAGTTTATAATTCTTGGATTTAACGCCATAGTTACTTATCATGAGGAAAAAGTCTCTCAAGTGATCTACATGAGCTTTTATACCAGGTCTTCTAGGAATGATCATCTTGGGTACTTAAGGTTAATCCTCTGGGAGATGCCTGTCTAACACCCATACTTCGTTATCTTCTTTAGTTCCTGAATTAATCATCATGAATCTTTTATCTTTTGAGGTTTGAATGTCAATGTAATGAGTTGGATCTAAATCCACAAAGACTGTACTCTCTTGCATTGTTTTAAGATTTAGTTTAATAACTTTGTAGGGTCTGTTCAACTCATTAGTCTCTACATAAAATAGAGTCTCATAGCCTGCTCCAAATTCCATCTAGCTTATATCCTAAAACCTGACATTAGGGTAAATATGATTAGATCTGAGATCCTTAATTCCTCCAGTAAGCTTTTCAGTGTTGCCAATATCTAGTGTAAACGCAATCATTGTGTGGTCATCATTGATCTTCATCTTATCTAAAATAGTTTTTCTCAGTGTTCTTTAGTTTAAAAAGGGCACCTCTTCCAAATCAAATATGACTTCAGTCTCTTTTTAAATCTGCTCCTAGGATTGAAATTTCCCAATCAGTTCATACTTATGCCTGCAATAAACTTCATAAGTGTTGTTAGTAGGCTTTTGCTATGCCCCACTTTTAGTGGATGTTGATTATGCAGGGACTTTATTAGTATATTCCTTTTGCTTAAGATAATAGACATAATCTCCGCTTTTTTCTGGAATCGATTCAATCTAGGGATCTCCTCTACCGAAAACCTGTTTCCTCCATTAGTCATATGAATGCCTAGTTAAATCTACCCATCTGTCTAAGTTTTCATCCTCTCTCTTAATTATCCTTTGCTGCCATTTTTTATCATGTCTTATATCATTGTAAGAGTCAAACCTATAGTGTCCATGATATTTTGTATGCTTGTCTCCCTAACTAACCAGGTTTGATTTTAGTTATGGAATATCAGCTGATTTTTGAGGAGTTACTGTAGATAAGGATCTTGAGCCCACTCTCCATAACTTCTATTATAATTTTAAAGCCATCATTTAATTTTACAAAGTTTATTCAATTTGCAATAATTTAAACAATAATCGTTTTCGGGGTTTTGGGGTTTTGGGGTTTTGGGG